GAATTGTTTTAAAAACAAACAAACATAGAAAACAATATCCAAAACACAGTGGTTCAATAAAGTTAAAAAAACAAAACCAAGAAATGAAGGGACTCAATAATTAAAAAAGAAAAAACCCACAAAAGTCAAATTACGTTAAAAAAAAATCTTTATAATGGCTGACTATAACACATGTAATATTTAAGTAGAATTTTATTATGTAATTGGTGATGAATTTTCCTCTTTCTACCCAGCACTTAGTCTTTGCATTCATATTTGCAGTAATGACAATATAGATGTTACATTTTCTAGTTACATTGTTACTGAAAGGTTTCTCTTCATTTATTTATTTATTTGATTAGAATTCAAATCTCTCAATGAATACAGAATAAAGATCTACCACAAAGAAAGAAAGCACGAGATAAAGCTAATCAAAAAGGTACTGACTGGAGCAAATGCTTATAATGCCAACCCTTTTAACAAAAGATCATTTAGGAAGCAGCTCATTTACAAAAGAGTAAAACAAAACGAACAAACAAACTTTCCATCTTAGATAAGTAAGTAAATTAAATTTCACAATAATAATTCGTAATAATTCGATAATCCACGTGAAACAACCAAGACTTTCTGTATTATTATTAATATTGCTCTCTTCATTCTTGATTAATATATTTTTCTAATACTCTAGTTTGTTTTTAAACAAGAAAAATAAACTACACCTTTTTAAGTCACTGTCACAGCTATTCCACAAGTTACTATAAATATACTGTATTTATGCTGTAGTTAATGTTAAAGCAGGTAAAACATAAAACACAGCTTAATAGGGTAATAAATAAATTACAACAATAAATATATTTTTTTTATGTTACCACCCATATTGAGTTATATGTAGTTATTTAAGTGAAACTCTGATTTTTGAATTTATTTATTAATTAATTAATTTTAAGATTTCCCTTTTTGATTTAATGTGTGTTTTGTTTTAGGGCTGGTGGACGGAGGCGCAGCAGAAGTCCAGACAGGAGGCGGCGTTGAATGGAGGAAGTCATCACTTTGATAACCAGTTAATAGGCTTCTAATGCCTTCCTACGAAGCAACTTTTGGAGTTTTTGTACAATATTTTCAGTAAACGTTGTGTAGCTGGGCAATTGGTTCTAACAGAGAATTTGTGCTTTTACTTTCAGACAGACATGTACATGTTTATGGTTTTCATGAATCCCTCACAGTGCTTTCTGTTTGCTCATTGTAACTTGGATTTTATTTTATATAGCCTAGGGAAAATTAAAAATTTTAAAATGTAAACCTATGATTTGTTTGTCTTTTTGTTTTTAAAATAACAGTTAACAGAGAAATCAGCCTACCAGCTCATTGAGCATGAAATTATAGATAGATAGATAGATAGATAGATAGATAGATAGATAGATAGATAATATAAGCATATATAGACATCATATACATATGAAGAATGTAGAAAAGAACATTTAGGATTTACATATATAATACTTTATGAAAGGGAAAATGATAATGTATAGGTTATCTTTACTTTCGAAATGAGTTAAATTTACCTTTCATGTTAAGTGTGTAACTTAGTGTCGTGGTGTGTAAAAGTTACCTCTTAATTTCTTTATATTTATTCAAGGGTTTGGGTTTTTTGGGGGGGACATTGGCTCCTTTTTTTTTTTTTTTTTTTTTTTTGCCTGTCCCGTTTGGTTCTTTTGCCATCAGAATTATTGTCTAAAGGCAAAGAAAGATGCCCAACGGATTTACTTTACCAAATGGACCATCCCAGCCATGCCATATTGGTCTATTTGAGTCACCTTTGCTTTTATTGTTTATTTTATTTTCATTTGCTGAACACGGGACAGACTTGACTGGGGAAAAGGAAAAAGGAGAAAGAAAGGGGGAAAGAAAAAGAGTGGGGCAGAGGGATGATGATAAAGGGCAAAATCAGACACAAAATACATATATCAATCACCTGTTGAGAAAGAAAAAAGAGAGAACAAGCAAAGAAAAAGAGCAATATAATAAACAACATCATCTTGATGATCTATGTGAATATAACACTGAATATTAAATATTGTGCAGCACGTAAGATCGACAGCGCAGTGAGCTTTGAAGTAGCAGCCAAAAAGGGTGTAGTTTGTGTGAGCACCTGTGTGTACACCTGTGAGCGTGAGCACGCTTGTATTTAAAAGGTTCCTTCATGTAATGCTCTGCTAGAGGGTGTGGGGAGAGTTATAGCCCCGTCCTCCTGGGCATGAAGCAGGTATGCAGGAGATCAAGGCTCCAGACCAGGCACGTGGGGGGGGGGCTAGAGGGGCTTGAGCACCCGCCCCTTTCCTGATGGGTGCCCTTTTGTTGAGGCAACTTTTTAAAAAAAAATTATTTATTTTTTTTAATGTGTGCGTGCGTGCGTGCGGAGTCCTGTCTGTGCCCCTCAACAATAATATTTAACTATTAATCACAGTTTTGCTAAATAAAAGGATCTGGCTTGCATCAGTCACATGATCACATTTAACCAATGATCGCCCTCGACGGCAGAACGCGCTGGTTGCGCGCCGGGAACGAGCTCACAAAGAGCACGCGCATTTTTAGCGGTCCGGAGCTGTAGGAGAAACACAAGTTAACTCAGAGACAGACTGATGCCACAAAACCAGTAAGTCGGTGTACAGCGTACACTGTAGTGTGTAGCACACAGGAGTATTAGCTTATTACGTACACGTTGGTAAGTTGTCTTGTTGCAACTGACGAACTGAAACAAACGAGCGAGCTGTGTGTGCAACAGCGCGACAAACATTACCTGTCCTTTTATTAACTGCACATGTAGTGCTGGTCATAGCTGCTGGCTACCTGTGTAAGGCTGTCATGGGTCTGTAGCTCTGTCACCGTTTTAGGGAACATATTTAGTTTTAAAGTATTTAGAAACATATTTAGTTTTAAAGTAAGTTTCCGGGCTTTTCCTGCCTTTCTGGAGGGATTATATTTCACTAAAAAACGATCTAATATGCATGTCCACATAATAATTATTATAATTATAATATATTAAAAAACACAAGCTGTAATTTAAAGAACATACATTAAGAAGCAGATTATATTAGATTTATATTTTAAATAAGACAAAATTTGGATTTTACAGCAGTAAAATTATTGTATCTCTACAGTTTAAAAATGTAATAAGCTTTGCCCCTGCACAGAGTGGATAGTGAAACAAATGGAATCATCATAAATACATTATTTCATATTTATTACCCCCTCCTCATTGCTTTATTATTGTAGCTCTAGTAATGAATAATAATGTAAGGATGCCCATAGTATATACAGTATTCTGAAGAAGGTCTAAAATGTCACTGTGTGTGCGTGCATGTGTGTGTTTTATTTAGATGGATTTAAAAAAAATATATTACTCATGATATAACATTGTCCAGACATGGCTGGTAAGGACATGAGGAGGAAACAGCAGGAGCTGTGTGAGGCTACTAAAGGCAGTGCTATAACATTTTTCTGTCATCATTTTATTATAGATTAAGTGCAAGAGTTGTTAGGTGTGGATAATTAGATTATAGTTTATTGCAATAGCAAGTTGTGCCTTGTTCTCACATAGCAAGTGGAGAGTGATATATGAAATGATGGGAAGGAAGAAGAGAAGCAAAGAGTGATTCACAGGCAGAGCCTAAATTATTTCTCACAGTTTTTTGTTGCCTTATGGTTCCAAGCGCTGTCACCAATCTTTGCATTTTGTTATTATCTCATGACACTTGTTTAATCAGCTACCATCTCTCCTATGGACTTTTTAATGTCTACAGTCTCAGATCAACATAGCCCTGCCCTTCCCATATTAGATTCTTGATGAATGTGTGTTGTTGTTATTCAGCCTGGTTCAATGTGCCCCTTTTTAACTTTGAGCACCCGCCCCTTTAAACCTCTCTGCACGGCCCTGCTGCTGGCAGCCAGCTGTGCCAGAGTGACTGAGCCCCAGGCCGAGAGGCCAAGGGCACCCCACCCCCGAAGGAGCCTGAGTAAGCTCCAGGCTCCAGGCGCCGACAAGCAGCCACCAGGAGTGAGCCGGTGGGTACCTGGACGCCCATCCCCGGACACAAAGAACCACCAGTGTCTGAGGGCGTCTGCCACTGGTAGGGGAAGTGGTGGAGGGAGATAGGCCTCCATACCATGGAGGGCCTGAGATGTCCCTAGAGAGAGGTGGCGTCAAACAAACAGGCACACACAGATACAAACATCCATTCCCACCCTCATGCTCTCATTGGTTCCTTTTCTTTCACTCAGTTGCAGTGCAGTCCTTGAACCTGATTATTTTCAGAGGAAGCCACTAAACAATCCCCCATGAATCATTCAAGGGCAAGGAAGAGCTTTAAATGTCTTTTAAGAAACCTGGTGAGCTATTCCCTAAAACATCTTAACGAAACACTAAGTTTGTCTTTCATGAGTAGAAAAAGTTTGACATGTACTTCCATTTATTTTTGAAAACAACAAAAAAACGTTTTGCATGCGAAAATTGACATTAATGGTCATGAAAAGTACTGAGACCTATAAAAAACAACTCTTAAGCTGCAAGCAATATTAACCATGCTAAATGTACACGTTTTGTCACAGCTTATTAGTGTTTGTACAATTCCAGAAAAGATGGATTACGGTCGGACGTGTTCCCTGCTGCGTTTTATTTAGCATCGCTAATGACGTAGGGTTTACATCATCCTGGATGACCTCATCCCGGCCACGGTGACGCCCCAGCTATTTTGTTAACTCCAAAGCACCTGTCACTCTGGCCTGAGTGCCGCACTGTCATTGGCTGCGGACACAAAAAACCCACTGGCCTCTCATTTTCTTGCAGCCAATTGGCAGGCGGATGTTTGGCGTTCTCATTTGGTGTTTACTCTAATGGGGAACGTCACTCAAAATGTTCTAGCCCGACCATTGGTTCTGATAAACGTCAATGAAAGAAAACTCCCGCCTCTGATTGGCCGAGTCCTCTCGGGGGCCGTCTGAAACCTTTGGTTGACGTTGTTGTTGTAAGTGGTGGAGAAATTACTTTGTCGCTGGTGGTCCGGTTTGGGATTTTACGCACCGTTCTCCATATGAGGACACTAAAAAGTTAGAAGTCGTTGGTACTGGAAACGTATTTGCTACTTACAAGTTGGCACTTGCTGGAAAACTGAATGGGACGATGAAAACAACATCTGCGAGGCCGCTAAAGGTAAGCAGTAGAGGGATACTCCAGCTCCTAGCGTTAACGTAAGCTACCGTTAGCTTGCTGCTGATTAGCCAGGCTTGAAGTAGCCACTTGCTAGCCAAAGGTAACGGTTCGTTCTAATAACTGAAAAAAATGTACAGGACTTCTTTATGGTGAGCATTCATGCGCATGTCTGGCAGACTTTAAATGGACGATTATAATTACTAATGGGTGCAAATAAAGTTAGTGGGATATGTTTGAACGGTGCATGAACCTCATGCGTTGAACGCCTCAAATGCGTTTATGTAAGCATGTTTATTGTTCCCTGATATTTCTTCTTCAAAGAATAGTTCTAGCCATTAAAAGCTGGCTCAGAGTCAGCAGTGGGGACAAGCCATCATCGTGTGTAGCGTTAGGATTCAGCGCAGAGCAGAACTGGTTTCTGAATACTGCCTCAGCTGTCAGCTAAGCAGTGTGAACACTGATATCAATTTCAGCTGATCTCTTTAGTAGTTGTGCATCTGCCTGTGGAAGTAAGTTAAGTCATCATCTCGTTTTTTCTGGGAGCTTCTAGTCACGATCCAGCTTATCGGAGTCCGCCTTTTATTTAAGGTGCATGTGTGATGTAACATTGACTTAAAAGACCAGCTCACAGGAAATTACCAGAGCCAGCTCTTCACACACCACAATTTCTAACCAAAACAACTGGGTTTATTGAGTCTGAATAAGCATCTAACTCTGTGTGAGGCTCCTGCCTGAGCTGACGGGTCACAGGGTTCACTGCTTTTTACTCATTCTGAAACTAGAACTAGGTTTATTTGGCATATTTTTCTCTACATCACCACAGCGAGAAAGTATTAGGTTGCACTCTGCCTTGAATTATTTAGGTCTTGTAGTTGTGGACTCTTTTGTTTGCAGGGACACCAGGACAGACAGCCTATATGAAAAGTAGGACAGAGGTACAAGTTCTTCAGTGTATTTGGCCTACAGCAGGGGTGTCAAAAGTAATTTTAGTGAGCAGGGTATGTACAGCTCACTTTGATCCAAAGCTTGTTTGACGTATAAAACCACTGGATAATATCCTTTATATACACAAAATGTCTTTGTGTGAAGAAGTATGGGTACTTAGGAAAAACATTTGCATTTAATAAGCTATTTAAAAAGCAAATGATAAGCAGTCAAGGATCTCTTAGGCAAAAGGAGTGCAATTAAAACCAGTATTTCCACATTTCATCACTCTATTGGTGTTACATGTATTTTAAAATATATAGTGGCTATTTAAAGGCACATGACCTTCACACATGTATTTTGGATCTCAATAACACAAGTATTTTACTTCTGTCTGTAAAAGCAGAGAGAATTGCAAGTGTCTTCTCTGAAATTTGCACGCTTTGCAAAGCCATCCAGAAGGCCAGGCTGGGTGTGCTTTGACTGCTGATTTTGATTAAAAACAAAACGCACACTGTAATAAACACACAGCAGTGAAGAGGAAGCTCGTTGAGAAGTTAGGTATGGTGTAGTAGGAAAAAGAAACACATTCAGCCCTCCACCCATACTCACTGTTTCCAGTGGCTGTGAAGGATGATGCTTGAAATGTAGGACACACAAGCAACTGCTGATCAGTACCAGTGTGGAAAGTTGAATGAAACTACCAGTGCACTTTGACTGTAATATTTGTCTTTTCGCGAGTGACTTTTGCAGCTCGATCTGATCTGATTTGATCACAGCTTTTGGTGTGTTAATTTGATCAATTTCCAAATCTTATTTTCATGTCCCTGAATTTTCAAGTCCCCATATGTACTGATTTGTGTCTATATACATAAAGTAAATATTTTTCACCTCTAAAGGGTGCAAGAAGTCTACATTTAGAGACTGGAGGGGTTGGTGGTGCTGTGAATCATTAGGATGGTTATAATTCAACAGCATTATTTTGATTATTCAAACTGCTTAATTAAAAAAAAAAAACAGAATTAAACTACAGTGGTTGTCACTTCTTTTTAGCTTAGTTTTCTTGGTTGTCAGCATGACTATGCTGGACAACAAGCCGTAGACATGAATCCTTCTTCCTGTTTAAATGCGTCACTCTCAAAGCTTTGCTAACTGTCATTACGAAAGTAGCCCAATTTTTGGCCATGAACGTGGAAAAATAGATTTTCTTCTCAACAGAGATTTTTTTTTTTTTCAATTTTGTTTTTTTGTTACGTAGTTTAAAATGTAAAGAAAGAGAAAGTGTTGAAAATATAGATTATAAACTTCAAGGTGAGCATTTTAATTGTTGCCTTCTTAGTGTTTTAAAACTGGGCGTGATGTATCTGACTAAATTATGCCAAGAAGTTGTTAGATAACAACCTAAATGATCCTTTTTTTTTTTTTCTAACAATGTCTGTAATTTGAAGAAAACAACTTTGTTTTATTCAGGATGAAATCACAGGGATTCATATGTTGCTGCATTGGTCAACTAATATGAATGCAATGAAGGGAACATTTATCAACATTTTAAACATTTTTATTTTCATAGGTGCAGTCAGTGAAGTTTTTGACCGCACCTCATATTTGCACCCATTATCTCACTGTTGGTAATTAAAGTGATAAAGCTGCCCAACAGTTCATGGTGGCAACTATTTACCATGATGCTCAGTTTTTCTGAGGGTTTGTGTCAGGTTTCATTATACAAGTCCTCAACACTTGAAGGAACATATTATATTGATTCATACAGCAGCAGAGAGAGCACCTCAGGCGAGTATTTTAAGAGGGGTGTAGCATCCTTCTGACTGCAAGACAGTTTCCAAACTGGCAGGGTGTAAAAGTAAAAAAAAGAAAACTGAAAACAAAAAGTGCTCTGCTGCTTTGTAAATATGTGGATTATAGGCACAGGTATGCAGTCTATTAAATTGCCTTCTCAGTGCACTAAACAGGCAGTAGCTCAGCCTGCATCCAGTGGAACAGAACAAAACAAACATTACTGAGTTATTGCTCTTTGATTTCCCTCGAACCATTTGAATTTGGTTGATCCAAGTTTAAATATGTGGTTTGTAATCTGCAGTGTATCATATGCATCAGATCTCTTAACAGGATTCAAATGTTATGTGGTTGGGAGTTCACAGTAGCCTCGGGTCACAGTGACACTGATGGTGCCCACTCAAGAGGTTTTGTTCTCGAAGGGAAATCACCAAGACCGGGGCTAAAATGTTTTTAATTGCTTTTTTCTAAAGTTGGTTTTAGTTTGGATAACTTTAAAATACATTTTGCTTTATCAAAAAATAACAGGACAATGCTTACATTTATATCAACCAAAGACCTTTTACCTAAACTCAGTACAAAGCAGTCGCGCTTACCTTCATATTGACAAAGGCTTTGTTTGAGCCAGCGTGCTAAACTGTATCTCACTCAAATTTAGTTTGCAAGCTCTTTTATTGTTAATGAACGATTACAAAACTGTGTGGAGTGGGACATGAGCTTTTTCACCTTCTGAAGCATTGCATGCCCTGCTGTCATCCAAAATGATGAGATGTAACTAGACACTTATATTACCTGTGTAACAGGGTTTGTCATGACTCTGGCAACATGAAGTTTTATGAGCTGATGGTCATGGGCTTATTTGCACACTGTTTTGCAGTTACATGTGGCAATAAAGACAGAGCAGCAGTGACTCTTGATTTATACTTCACATGACGGACAGCCAGTTGAACTTGTTTGACTTTCTGTATGACTTTCTTTAAGGTTTTGTGCCAGTTAGTGTGAGAGTGCTGTAAACATGTGTCACACACTTATTTTGCTGAATATCCTTTGTGGCTGTCTTGGTGAATATAATGTTATACAAGCTAACCTGTCTGTTTCAGCCATGCAGAGGGTATGAAAATTTAAATTTTCCTCTCGCTGAGTTCCCCCAAACAGCTGCTCACTGTCAGCGGTGCAGTGTCAGTTACACGGCCAGGCCCGTTTGGCCTACTCCCACAGGAAAACACGGTCAGATTAATAAGTAAGTAGATGAGGTTAGTAGGACAACCAGATGATTTTTTTCCTGTTAAGTGTGCATGTCCCACTGGTGGTAAGGCATGAACTAAGCCTTGTTTTGTTTGGACTCTTTGCAGATTTCCAAAAAAGACTTAAAACCCACATCCATCTGTGCTCTTATATCTTTAAGTAGCACTATTTAGAAACACAGGAAGGGGATAAGATAAAAGGCAAAAACAGTTTTAGTCTCTGCACTGCCACAGCGACACGAGGATCAATAGGTGGCTTGTCTCTAAGAGGTCTCCATGTCCAGACAGCAACTCATAAAACTCTTTGCAGCCCCACCCTCCCCACCATGGCTGGTTGCCTGCCAGTCTTGTGACACAGCAGCTAGCCAGTGCCCAGGGCCATTTGTGTCCAGGATGGGTAGATACTATGAACTGAGGTGCTTACCTGGGTGCCAGCAGCTGCTTTACTTTGAAAACATGCATGTTTGAGTCCAAAATTTGTCATTTTATACCGTTTCTTCGTTTGTTTATGAGTAAAATATTTTTATTTGTGTAAAGAAAAACACAAAAATCAGGCATCTGTTGACACTCATTATATACCGTAGTACACTATACTATAGTATAAACTATATTTGATTTATCCTCCAAACTGGGGAAACTCTGTAGTCTTTGACAAAATAGCTATGACCATTAGAGGAGTTTATAGTTCATAAAGGTGAAGTACACTTTATCAAAACAAATAAGACATTTCACTAAAATAAAAGCTAGTTTGAAATCAAAATAAATGTAATTTATATTTAAATAAAAATACTTATTGGTAATATAATTTATAATTATTATTTTAAATTCACCCAGCAAAATACTAAATGTAGAAAAACAGCATAGCAACTATGAGATGACATTTCAGCCGGTATATGTAACAGTAAAGGTTTGTCTTGCATTTGAGGAAAAAAAAGTTTTTATTTATTAAGTGGCCAAAATACAGTGCATACTTACAAAAACTCATTTTAAGCAGGTATTTGAACAGCATTGACATATACATATATTAAATACAAAATTGTT